GTTGAACTTTGGAAAGTTGAGAGCCCCAGCTCTGTGTGTGTATGTGTGTTTCTATGTATGTGCCATGCATGTGTGTATGTGTGCCATGCATGTGTGTGTGCATTCTGCAACAGAAGGGGTTAAACCTCTGACCAAAGCTGAATCCAGCCTTACACAGGTTTCTGCCCATCCCTCTGAAGGGGCCCTGATCTTTCCTGCTTTCAGGGTCTTTGCAAATTGTTCACTTGCCTGAAACTCTCCCCTACCCCCACCCCTGCACACACACAACTCATCTTCACCTCTTCTACATTTTCACTTGATCAAGACTTAAGTATTTGTTAAGTCTCAGTTTAAAAGTCACTTTCTCAGGAAGGAAAGTGATCTTTGTCTGATCCTCTTTCCCTTAAATTAAATCACTATAATTATTCATTCACTGTAATCTTACCCTGCTAGAGCATGATTTCTGGAACTGAGTTTTTCTGCGTGTCTATCTTGTTCATGTCTGTATTTTTCCAGTCTGTGGCACAGTGTCAGGCACACAGAGGCACTCAACACTTTTAACGAATGACTGAACAAAGGGACTTGGCTATGGTGTATGAGGAAAGAGGTCGTGTGGGGAAAGAGAGCCGCCTGCTGGACATTGAGAGGATCAGGGACTCAGGACATCCTATTTGAGCTGGGAACAATGATGATTGGGTGGTAACTTTCCTATCAGTGGGAATTCCCATGTTATGCCCAGACTTCTGATTTATGCTTTTCTCTTCTCTCTCTTTATTTTGAGTTGGAGTCTCACTCTGTCACCCAGACTGAAGTGCAGTGGCATGCTCACAGCCACTGCAGCCTTGACCTGCTGGGTTCAGGTCATCCTTGCACTTCAGCCTTCCAAGGAACTGGAACTACAGGCATGTGCCACCACGCTCAGCTAATTTTTTGATATATTGTAGAGACGAGGTCTCGTATGTTGCCCAGGTTGGTCTCAAACCCATGGGCTCAGGCAGTCCTCTTTCTTCAACCTCCCAAAATGCTGGGATTACAGGCATAAATTGCTTTCTTCTTACCTTTATCAGCTCCACCATCTCTCCCAACCTTCAGAGCATCCATCCCCAGCCCCAACAGCCTGACTCCTATACTCACCCTCCCTCACACTGCAGACCACCTCCTGGTCCTCCCCACAATTAATATCCTTCCCTCTTGGACCTTTAGTTTTGAATAAGAATAGGACCAGAGTCTTCCATCGATCCTCTTTCCTCCCTCCTCCCCAGTCAATCAATTAGAAGTGGTTGGCTGGGGCACTGGAGTGGATATGGGTAAGGAATAGTGGGCGGGGAGTGTGGGAAGTTGGTGGGGCGGGAGTGGGTTGAGTGAACGTGTTTCTGAAACAGGATCCTACTGAAAGTATGCCACATCAGTGGATTTCTTTTGGGGGAGATAGTTGGTGAGAAGACAGCTGGGATGAGAGATTTGGAAAAAGGTGAATGAGGAATTCCCAGGTACTGTCTTGACTGAAAAAAAAAGAGTAAAATGCCCCCAGTTTATACACAGTGTGAGCACAATGGGAGGGGAGGGAAAGACGTTCATAAAAGGAGACTGGACTAAGAGAAATGTGAGGGATTAGTGAGGAACATGCGGATCAGCGAGAGGAGTTGGGGCTTAGTGCTAAGAACATGGGAAGAAGTAGAGAGGGTTAGAGGAAAACTCCTTGGATGGGGATAAAAAGGGGAAGTGGGTGGGGGGTCCAGGAGAGAGAGAGGTCACTTGTCCAGTGGGGATGGGGAGAACCAAACCACACCTGTGACTCTCCACATAGCCCCTCCCCCAGCTGTGCCCCCAAGTGGAGCTGGGGAAGAGTGACAGTTACTTAATGACCCTGAGTCCTGCTAGCTTTTCTGGGCCGCCTGCGGTCACTGGGGGGCTAAAGGGGACTGAAGCCAAAGTCCAGGTTATTGATCTCTGGCCCCAAAGGTCAGCTTCAGGGGCAGAGGGAGTGGTGTTGCCATGGTGGGAGCCTCGAGGGACACCCACAACAGTGGGGCTGTGCTGCAGCCCAGTTTTCATTTCTGTATCTTGGCTCCCCATAACCCTAAACACATACACACACATACACACACTACACACACACCTGTCTCCATCTTGTCCTGCCTGAAATTTCTGCCTGGTGGGATGTCTCAGAATAGACTCTTGAGTGTCTTGCCTTTGGGGTATCTAGGGAGCATAAAAGCAGGAACTTGGATGGAAGTATTTACTACTACCCCCACTTCCAAAACAAGGCCCTGGGAGTCCATGAACTCTTTGTGAATCAAGTGGAAAAAGTAGCAATCTGGTAGTCAGGAAAGATGGCCACAGTTTACTGTGTGGCCTTGGGCAAACTCCTTAACCTTTTTGGATCTTAGCCTTCTTATCTATAAAACGAAGGGGCTGAATCCAGATGAGCACTAAATTCCCTTCCAGATAAACAATCTAAGAGTCTAAGGAATTAGTGGGGGCAGGGTTTAGGAGATAGTAAAAAGAAATGATTGGAACTGAAAGTCAAACCTGGATCCTAATTTGATCATTATTAACTGTGGAACTCTGGGCAAGACATGCATCTATTCATTCAGCAAATATTTAGTAAGCAATTGTGCTCTGTTAAGTTTGTGCTACATGCTGACACAATGAACAAGACAGGTTCGGTCCCTGGTTTATGGGGTTGTGGCCAGTGGGAGAGAAACACAAATAAGCAAATGTAATACAGTGGGGCAAATGCTGTGTCATAGAAGTGCAGGGTACTATAAAAAAATGAGAAGTGGGCCAGACTCGGTGGCTCCTGCCTATAATCCCAGTACTTTAAGAGGCTGAGGCGGCAGGACTGCTTGAGTACAGAAGTTTGAGACCTCCCTAGGCAACATGACGAGATCTTGCCTCTAAAAAAAAAAAAAATTTAGCTGGGTGTGGTGGTGCGTCCCTATAGTCCCAACTATTTGAGATGGCCGAGACAGAAGAATCACCTGAGCCCAGGAGGCCAGGGCTGCAGTGAGCCCTTATCATGCCACTGCATTCCAGCTTGGGTGACAGAATGAGATCCTGACAGCTCCCACCCAAAAAAAGAGAGAGAGAACATTGTACAAAGTAGTACACAGACACTAGAGAGAAGCTGTGGATCAATGAGGATCAAGCTGGATAAAATCTGGCTTTTGGACTAACTTCCAGAGGAACAGCAGGGAATTAACCAAAGTTGAGGCAGTGGGCTTCTAAAAACTTGTCTAAGGTCACACAACTTGTGAAGAACAGAACTGGGGCTTAAACAGAAAGCAGAAGTCTTTGCAAAAGAGGGAGGATACTTGTCCTAAGGGCTCCAGTGGGTAGAGGCTATAGAGATTAGATTCAACTCAAAGGAAGAAAGAACATTCTAACAATCCCATCTACTGGTGGATGGATAAGGCATCGAGAAGCAATAAGTTCCCTATCACTGGAAGTTTGCAAGCTGATCTGGAAAATGGTTGATGTCAAGCTTAGGGTATGGGTGGGGTCAGCTAATCTGTAAGACTCCTTTTTGCTCTGACACTCTTGGAATCAAGGATCTTGGAATATCCATTCTCTTTGCTCCATTCCCCCCTCTTTCAATAAAACAGGAGTGAGGGCATCTCTTTTCAGAATCTCAAGGTTTTACTTACATTCAGGAGAGGCTGGAAGGGAGAATGAACCACTTCATGCCTCTATCTTTCTGTCATCCCTCCCCTTCCATGGCCAAACCACAGAGACCCAGTGGTAAGGAGAGGGAAGAAATAGACTCCTATAATTTGGAGGCCTCGAGTCCAGGATGGTGTTTATGAAGTTTGATGTTGACTTCGATGTTATCACTGAAATGCAGTGTAGCCTGCTGGTTAGGAGCACAGACTGCTGCATGGGGCTGACCTGGATAAGTCACTTCCTGTCAGAGTTACCCTGAGCAAATTGTTTAATCTCTGAGTCTCTGTTTCCTCATTTCAAAAATAGAGACAGCTGGGCATCTGTAATCCCAGCATTTTTGGGAGGCAGAGGCAAGAGGATTACCTGAGCCCAGTAGTTCAAGACCAGCCTGGGTAACTTGGCAAGACCTCATCTCTACAACAAATCAAAAAATTAGCCTGGTGTGGTGGCACGCACCTATGCCTGTAGTTCCAGCTACTTGGAAGACTGAGGTGGAAAGATCCCCTGAGCCCAGCAGGTTGAGGCTGCAGTGGCCATGAGCGAGCCATTGCACTCCAACCTGGGCTACAGTGAGACTCTGACTCAAAAAAAAAAAAAAAGCCGGGCCCAGGG